TGCTGCCAGGGCTGGTGGTGTCATTGATCTGAAGTCATCATCCTCCTGGCCTCAGGGGAGAGAGCAGAGCTGGAGGCAGCAATGCCAGAGCAAGGTATCTGCCAGAAGAGCATCGTGGCGATGCATTGGATTCCAGCGTGGCTCATGGGGTTTGTTGCCATCTTCGGGTGACTCTGTTTTGGGGTGCTCCATGTGCAGACTGTGGGACAAGGTGACCCCAGACACCTGCACTGGTATCACTTGGGGTTCAGGGCTGTCTCTGGATACCTTCATCCTCCTCCTGCTGGCATCTGGGCTGGTGGCATCAGCATCTCCTCCTGGAGAGGGACATCTGAAGTCACCACCAGTGGGAGTGACCCCAGTGGATGCAGTGAGTTTTTGAGGTCTCTGTCACTGAAATATGTTGTTAGTTTGAGGAAAAGAGTTGATTTTATGGCCTCAGCATTGCAAAATCTGAGGCTTGTGTCATTTTGGGAGGTATTCTCATCTGGAGGGAGCAGGAGGTAAGGAGAACAGCAGCGTATTCTGGAATATGCTCACACAGCCTGGACAAAGGGCTTCATCCCCAGAGCAGCTCCACGATGTAGCCAGCCAGGAGAGGAGCACTTGCTTTCCACACTCATGGATTCAGCAGCAGATGCAGCCAAATAGCCTGGATTAAGTGGTGGGAAGGTATTTTTCACATCTCCTGACTCCCTGCTCTCAAGAAGCCTATCGGACTGAGTGGAAAGGCAGTTGGAATGCTCTGGAAGAGCCTCCAGTGGAAGAAGTATTCCAATAGTGTCCAATACATAGAAATATATCCCTGGGTTTTACATCCCATGTGGCCAGCCAGGCCTGCCAGCATTGCTTTCCTGCCTTCCTGCCTCCCTTTCCCTCCAGCTGCTCTCAGGCACAAAACCAGGCTTGTTTCCTGCTCCTGCTGCTGCTTCAGGCCACAGGTGCCCAGCACGGGGGGACCGCAGCCACCCCAGCTGTCCCCAGGAGCTCTTGCCAGTCCTCAGTGGAGCATTGTCTACCCCAGGTGTTTCCCAGCTGGCTTTTTTCCAGGATTTTGCTGGACAAAACTATTCCTTGGGTGATATTTAAAGAGATTCACAGAATGACTAGGTTGGAAGAGACCTTCAAGGTCATCGAGTCAAACCCATGCCCCAACACCTCAACTAAACCCTGGCACCCAGTGCCACATCCAGTCTTGTTTTAAACACACCCAGGGATGGGGACTCCACCACCTCCCCGGGCAGCCATTCCAGAACTTTATCACTCTTTCCGTACAAAACTTTTTCCTAATATCCAACTTACATTTCCCTTGGCGCAGCTTAAGATGTGCCCTTGGAAGAGCTTGCCTGGCTCTCATGTTCTGTACACCCTCCAGAGCCTGAGCTAAGCTTTGCTTTACTGGGATTTGCATTTTAATTAAGCCCATGGATTTTTCTTCCAGGCTTGTTGGAGTCAGGTCTTCCTGCTCGCTCCCTTCTCCGAAGCTCCTGTGACTGCAGGGCTTGTGAGCAGTTTTCCAGAGGTAGACTCCATCCCGGCTCTCCATTTATAGAAAGGAATTAAGAAGAAATGAGGGAGCATTACTAAGAGGATTTGCACTGCGACTTACTCAGTTTGTCCAAATAATTTGCAGTAGCTCTGGATTCTTTAATCAACACTCGTTTCCTTCTGGAAATGAAAGAAACAGGAAGGCGTTGTGCTGCTCCTGAGCCAAGCTTGGCTCGTTGCCTTCAAATGGGAAATTTTGCATTCACAGAGCAATCTGGGAAGAGCTGGCGGGGAGTGAGGGTGCGTGTGGCAGAGGGAAGTGCGTGTCAGGGCTCAGAAAGCCTCTGTCATGCTGACCCTCTTCCTCCATGGAGTTTTGGGCTTCTGTGTCTGCAGTCCGCAGATACATGCCTGGAGAGGTGACATGAGAGCTGGTCCATGGGTCACCCTCGTGCGGAGCTGTTGATGGCTCTGCCCTGCTGTGGCATCTCCGTGTGAGAAGGTCTGGGCCAGATCAGGGGTTGGGAATTCCTGTGGGACAAAGCTGTGGTGGCCTGTCAAGCCATATGGTGGCCTGTCAGGCAGTAGACCTTCCACAGGTTTCTGGGAATCCCCTTGATGTTGCAGAGGGAGGAAAAGACTATTGGAAAGATGTCATTGCTTGGGGATAGATAGTCCCAGACTGCTCCTCTCCCAAATGGCCTGTGCCTTCCCATGCACGTGTCGGTGGGCTTTCCTCACCCTGCTCTAGTGACTCTTGGAAAGCTAACAGTGCTTGCAGCATTCCATTGCAGCCTTCCCAGCCCTTGCAGCACCCATGGAGCCACTCCCCAGCCTGGCAGAGCCCCGTGCACAGCCTTGCCCCACGTCCTGCCCCACTGAGCCCAGTCCTGGCCCTGTGGCTCTTCAGGGCTGACCTGATGGCAGTGTCACGCTCACACATCTCCATCTGCAATAGACCCCTCTGGACTCCTCCTGCTTCCTGCCTGGCCCGTTGCACAAGAGGAAACTCCAGGGTTTCCTGTCCCAGCAACAGGGTGCGGTGTGGGGCTGCCCCGTGTCCCCTGCCCTGTTCACAAAACTGGAGCAGGGCCGGCTGTGCTGCCCAAATGTGTCCTGCTGGGTCAGAAGTCACCTCCATAGGTTGGAAGCTCATAATTAAATCAAATTCCATCAGCTGCAGGTGTGGGATGGTGGTGGGGAGCGGCATCTCTGAGTCAGGGTGAAAGACCCTCTGTGGGGAAGGGGTCTGGGCTTGCTGTCCAGGCAGCCCCGAATTTCCCTCTGCTCTGACCCAATTTTACAGCCAAATCACCCTCCCTGACCCCACTTGTCCCCCAGAGGTGACAATTCTAGCCTTGGTCTCCTGCTACTGCTCTGTGCTCCCCCAGTTTGCTGATGTGGGCGCTGCTAGAGATGCTGATTATGGCAATTAGGGCAGACCCCAGGTGGCTCTGGGGATGGGACCCACGCCCTGCACTCCTGGGGATGCAGTGTGAAAGTGGGCTGTGCACAGCTACACCCAGAAAGTGAGACGCAGCTTTTCCTCCGAAACCTTTCTGCCTTCCAGATGGATGTGTGTGCTTCAAATGGAGTTGAGGAACTTGGGGATGGAAGCTCCAGCTGGTCCCTGCCTGGAACCAGGGGCTGCCAGCCCCCATCACCCTCCCACTGTGTCCCCTCACTCTTGGAGGTCACTGGGGCTTCCTTAGTTAGAAAAAAGTGTCCTTCCTTTGGACAAAAGCTGACACGAAGGAGCAGTTCAACTGGGAGCTCCATTTCTAGCTTTCCCAGGGGTGCAGCAAAGCTTCCCTCCGGAGACCACCCCTGTTCTGGTCGTTCAAGGACAGTAGGAGCAGCTTTGGGAAAGTGGGGCCTGCATCCCACTTCTGGCTATGAGCTTCTGCTCCCCAGCTCTGGCTTTGCATTTGGCTTGTTCCTTGTGGGCCAGGACTCCATTCTGAGGTGGAATGTGCATTTATCCTGGCACTTGTCGCTGTGCCAACTGGTTCATCACAGCTGTCCTGACAGTCTTGGGGGTTTTGGGGCTGAAGACTGGGATTTTTGAATGAGGACAGGCTGCCCCTGGAGCTGGATCCATGACACGTGTCCCAGATGGATGTTGAGATGCAGGCATCCTGCTCTAGGCCTCTAGGACATGGTCATCCAGACTGGCATTTTTTTAATGCTGAATTTAATTTTATGGTTTTCCTGACAAGAATTTGGGTCCCCTGACACCTCAACAGGAGCCTCCTGCATCTTGCTGGTGACCTCCTCTGTCACCTCCATGGTCCTTACTGGTCACCTCCACGGTCACCACCCAGAGCCAGTAGGGATAGGGCTGCAAACCCCACAGAGCAGTGGCTTCCCTGCAGTTTCTGACACAGTTTCAGCTGAGGGGGTGCTTGGCTCTGGGCTGGGGTGCAGGGCTGGGTTGCAGCTGTGGGTGGGGTCTCGTCTGTCTCAGGCTGTCATCATTCCTGCTCCAGCTGGCACATGCTTTGGTGGCACAGGGACTTCCTGGGGGATTTGGGCTGTACTCCACCACATTTCGGGCTCCTGTGGGCCCCTCCAGCCCTGCTCAGCACAGACTCACTGGAGTCCATATAGATGAAGCCACGTGGGGCCACCAGGAGAGCACCAGGAAGCAGGGTTGCAGCAATGATTGTAGTGAGAAAGGCACTGAAATTAATCTCACAACTTTAATTGGTTTATATCAGTAATGAGCTGCTACTGGCAGTGCTGAGCCAGGCGGTTCCTTCCCTTGGCAGCAGGATGTTCATTGGAGCAGGTGCCAAGGAAGCACTTGGTGATGTTGGAGCCTGGGGAGAGGATGAACCTGAGCTGGCATCTTTGTGTCCCCATGAAGGATCAGAAATGGGGTAGAGTGAGAAATCCTGCCTGGAAAGTTGTTCCAGTGGCTGCCACTGCATTCCATAGGATAAATGGTGGCTGGCTGTGCCAAGGCTCCTCAGCGTGGACTCCCCAAGGTCCTCAACACCTGCATGGCAAGTGCTGCCTGTGGGTTTCACTCCTGTCCCTCTAATCCATGGAGTAGCCAGGACCTTTGCCAGGCAGCCCTGGCAGTGGTCTTGCCATCCTACTGCCCAATTTTTTGTGCCCCCCCAAATTGTCCTCCCCATTGAGCACCCCAAAAGTGGGGTAGGAGCTGCCAGCTGCTGCCCACGATCCAAAGGCAGGGGAGGAATTTGTCCTCCTCTGCCGGTCTCACCACTCTGAGGGCAGCAGAGGGTTCTTTGTGGGCACTGCTTTAATTGCTTCATTATTATCCTGAGTAAATGAGTCCTGGCAGCAGCTGAACCTGGTGGATGCCAACTGCATCCCAGAAAGGCATCTGGGAAAGGTCAGCATCCATCTGGCACAAGCAGGGATTGGGGACCTGGATGGAACCCAGCCACTGCAGAGCTGGAGGGTCTCAGTGAGCAAGGGGGGGACCGTGAGGGAGCCTCAGCCTTTTCCTTCTCACCCCCCCCATCACTTCTCTCTTGCAGACCGTCAGCATCAATAAGGCCATTAATGCACAGGAAGTGGCTGTCAAGGAGAAACATGCCAGGAATATCCTTCTCAAAGCTGGCCATGGGACTGTGGGAGCGAGGCTGGGGCTGCCTGGAAAAGGGGCAGCATCAAGAGGGTGTGTGGGGAGAGGTGCCCAGGGCACGGGGGAGGCTGAGGGCTATTAACAATATTGGATATTTTACCAGCATGGCACGGGATCCCTGCTACTGCTGTCACAGCCTTTGAATGTTGGTAGGTCCCAGGCTGGTGCTCCCAGCACTGCCATCCCAAGAGGAGGCAGGAGGGGAAGGTGCCCACAGTAGGCTGCCACCAAAAGTGGATCCCCAGCATCCCAGGCAGGCACCTGGGAAGGCTCAGCAGAGGCACAGCCCCAGCCTTGCACGTGCCATGGTGCTCCCAGAGCAGGGCTGGTGGCAGGGAGAGGGTGGTTTGTGCCGCTTTGGGGACAGCGAATGCCTGTCATCATTAGCTCCCTGTGGTGGCCTGGCCACTCTGGCTGCAGCTGTCTTTGGGTGGCCATTCTCCATCAGCAAAGGGCAGAGGAGTGCTTCCTTGACCACTGGCACCGTGCATCCTGGGCACACACCACGAGAAGGGAGCGCAGACCTTCTGGTCAGTGGTGAACCGGCTGCCGCTGTCCGGCAACGCCGTGCTCTGCTGGAAGTTCTGCCATGTCTTCCACAAGCTCCTCCGGGATGGACATTCCAATGTGAGTGCCCACAGCTCAGCCTGGGGCCAAATCCTTTCCCCTGCAGGGCTGCACCGGCTGATGGGAGGTGCTGGAGGGTCAGGGTCCGTCTGGGGGGTCTGTCCTGGGGTGGGGACTGGAGTCCTCCCAGAGGTCATTGGGCTCCCAGGGGTCAGTCCTGAGCAGGGCCTGGAGCTGGAGCCCTCCTGGAGGGTTGGTGCCCTCCTGTGGGTAAATCCTATGGGTACATCAGTGCTGGAGCTCTCCCAAAGGGTCAGTGCCCTCCTGCAGGTCAGTCCTGGGTGCCAGAGCCCTCCCTGCCCAAAACCCAGAGTGCCTCAAACCCCAGTGCCATCTGCAGTGCCAGGGGAAGCTGCTCAGCGCCTGCAATGGCGCGCGCGCAGGAGCCGTCAGCAAGGATCCTCCTTGGGGAGCTGGAGGCACCCGGGGCTGGTGGTGGCAATAAAGGGTTGGGAATGCATCAAGACATCCCATTTATCACCCAGTTCCTGGTTCCAAGGATGGAACACTGTGTCCTGGTGCTCTGCCTGCTGACTGTCAGCATCATTCCCCCAGGTCCTGAAAGACTCTGTGCGATACAAGAATGAGCTGAGTGACATGAGCAGGATGTGGGTAGGTGACCAACCCTGCCAGCCATGGTGGGGAGACCCTGGGGGTGCCGTGGCCAGGCTGGGGGGGTGTTCGCTTGGGGGATTCCCTCTCCCAGGAAGCAGAGCACAGCCATGGCTGACCTGTGGCTATCACCTACCTGGGCTGGGTTTCAGTTGCATTCTGTGTTCCCTTCCACCAAAATCAAATGCCTCCTTCCTGTTTTATGGCAAAACCCAAAAAAAACTCGGCTCTGACAGTGAAATGAAGCATTGAAACATGCAGAGAAGGTGATGAGAAGGTCTGACCAAATCCCTTCAGTTCAGCCAGTCTGGATCCAGGTGCTAGTGAGGGGGGTTTGGCTGTGATTTTGGGGAGATAAGGGAGGGGTCAGTCATTCTGCAGCAGAAGGCTTTTTCACAGCCTGCCCTGGATCTCAGCAGCTTTTTGGGGTCTCCACAGGGCCACCTGAGCGAGGGCTACGGTCAGCTCTGCAGCATCTACCTCAAACTGCTGAGAACCAAGATGGAATTTCACATCAAGGTAAGCCTCCCTGTCCCCAAGGCTGTAGCAAGGGGTGGGCACTGGGGTGACAGCAAGGTACTAGCATTGATATCCTGCTGCCTCCATGAAATATTCCCAAATCTGCCAGTGGCCATCAAAAATGGCCCAAGGACCAATGCTTCAGGGGTGGCAGGATTCCTGGTGGCCCAGGGCTCCTTGGGCTGGGCTGGGAGTTGGTGGATTACAAGTAGTAGGAGACACACACTCCATTCTCCCTCAGCTATCCTAGATGGAAAACTGCTGGAAAGAGGTGTTTTCTGTGCCCATCACCCTGTTTTGGAAGTGTGATGTGACCTTCCCCAAAAGGCCAGGGCAGGTACCCTCTGGGGCAGATATCACTCCATCCTGTCCAGTTCTCTGCTGGCAGCGCTATCTGCTCCCTGCTAGGCAGGTTTCTCAGCCCAGGGAGAATCAGCTTTTCTTGCTGGGAAGAGAACAGATGCTGTGGGTTAGGGATGCTGTGGTCACCCAGGGTTCAGAGACCCTGTGCTGCCTCCCTTTTCCCCCACATCTCTCCCCTGGCTCATCCACGAGCTGACTTTGAGGCTGCAGGATCACAGCCCTGGTGCTCCCAGAGCTGTGGCCAGACCAGGAGATTTTCTGGAACCCTTTCCTGACTCTGTTTTCCCTACAGAATCCCCGATTCCCTGGAAATCTGCAGATGTCTGACCGGCAGCTTGATGAGGCTGGGGAGAATGATGTCAATAACTTGTGAGTGCAGGACAGGGCAAGGTCTGGGAGGGAGTGGGTGCAGGTGGGTGGCACGATCTGCCCAACCCCACCAGCAGCATGACCAAGCAGGGACAGGACCCTTCCTCATGGGTGTCCTTGGAGACAGTCCCCAACCATCCTCAACCCTGTTTCCTAGTTTTCAGCTGACGGTGGAGATGTTTGACTACCTGGAGTGTGAGCTGAACCTCTTCCAGACAGGTAAAGGCCTCCATTACTCTGAGACATGGTGGAGTGAGAGATCTGCTGGAGTCCAGCCCCTTGGTGGGGCTGATCCGAGCTGGATGAGGCTCTGGCCGGGGATGATGGCTGAGGCCATCACAGCTCAGCTCTTCTACGGGCACTTCACCTGAATTATGGTTAAAGGCAAAGTGGAAGGTGCTGCACCTGGGTCAGGGCAACCCCTGGTATCAATCCAGGCTGAAGGATGGAGGGATGGAGAGCAGCCCTGCTGGGAAGGACGTGGGGGTGCTGGAGGATGAGGAGTTCAACATGCCCCAGCCATGTGTGCTCCAAGACCCCCCATGCCCTGGGCTGATCCCCCAGCATGGGCAGCAGGTGAGGGTGCGATTCTGCCCCTCTGCCCCACTTAAGTAACATCCCACCTGCAGAGCTGCCTCCAGCCCTGGTGTCCCAGCACAGGAAGGACATGGAGCTACTGGAGCAAGTCCAGAGGAGGCCACTGAGATGCTCTGAGGGCTGGAGCCCTTCTGCTCTGGAGACAGGCTGGGAGAGCTGGGGGTGTCCAGCTGGAGAACAGAAGGGTCCAGGCAGACCTTAGAGCTTCTTCCAGTGCCTAAAGGGGCTCCAAGAGCACTGCAAAGGGACTTCAGACAAGGGATGGAGTGACAGGACAAGGGGGAATGGCTTCCCACTGACAGAGGGCAGGGTTAGGTGGGAAATTGGGAAGAAATTCTTGGCTGTGAGGATGGCGAGACCCTGGCACAGGTTGTCCGGGGAAGCTATGGCTGCCCTATCCCTGGAAGAGTTCAAGGCTGGATTGGATAGAGTTTAGAGCACCCTGGTCTAGTGGAAGGTGTTGGAATGAGATGGTCTTCAGCTGCTCCAAGCTGGTTTTGGAGCATCTTCCATCTGGCACATCCAGCACACTCCAGTGGCCAGTGGGACAACAGTGACAGGCAGAGCACAGGCTCACGTGTCAGCTCTGCCCAGGGACATGGCTGGGGCTCAGTCCTGGTTGGAGGCCTATGGTGCCAGGCTGGAGTGTTCCCAGGCCTGGGTGGGAGACCTGGGTGGGAATTTTGCCTCCCACTGAGCTCACAAACTGCAGGGCGGCAGGCTGTGTCCCTAAGGGCCAGTGGGTGTCTTGTTCTGGATGACATCTGTGGATTTGGCAGACACAGTGTGGCACCCTGGGGTGCTGCTGCTGCTGGATCTGATGCTGCACTCCTTCCCTGCAGTGTTCAGCTCTCTGGACATGTCTCGCTCAGTGTCAGTGACAGCAGCAGGGCAGTGCCGTCTGGCCCCGCTCATCCAGGTGATCCTGGACTGCAGCCACCTCTATGACTACACTGTCAAGCTGCTCTTCAAGCTCCACTCCTGTGAGTGTCCCCAGCACCACTGCCTTTGATGGGGGGGACACACAGGGAGGCACTGGGTCCCCCACTCTGCTCAGCCTGGGCTGTTTACTACCACCTCTTCCCCCACCTCTTTTGGGGGGTGAAGGGAGTCACCATGGCAAAAGCCATATCCTTCAGGATCTGGAATTGTGGCAGCCACCAGCCCACACTTCTCTCTGCCCTGAGGAGTGTGGGGTGTGGTCCCCTCCTGCAGCAGGACACTGTGTGCAGTAGTCGGACCCCCAAAGGAGGGTGGCCATCTCTGGGAAAGAGCTGTCTCCATGTGGCTGTGCTGATGGGTTGTTCCCTGATCCATGAAGACACCCGCTGACATTTCTGCTTTCTGCTTCTTCTAGGTCTGCCAGCAGATACACTGCAGGGCCACCGGGATCGCTTCCTGGAGCAGTTCCGAAAGTAGGTGCCCAGACCCAGAGCATTGGTGCTCTGGGAGTGCTCCCAAGGCACTGAGATCAAAAATGGGTGAGCAGGGACTTGCTGTGGTCTCTGGTACATGATTATTTAGAGTAACCAAAACAAAAATTGGCCACCAAGAGCAGGGAGGGGATGTCATGGTGCCAGGGGAGGATATCATTGTGCTGAGAGACAGCTTGATTCAAGGTCACAAACTCAAAGAGCAGATAGCAGTGCTGACTATGCTCTGACCACACAGAGACTAACCTTGGGACAGGGATCAACAGTGCCAAGATCCTGACTGGGATGCTCAGGTGACTGGGAGAGGTGGGAGCTAAGAGTGGTGTGGCTGGCCACTGTCCCTCCTCCCCAAAACTGGAGGGAGGTACCCTGCTTCTGGGGAGGGTGCTCCTGCAAGAACTGAAGGTGAGGGTGTTGGCTCCAGGCAAGAAGCCCCCTTGCTCCTGATAACTTCGAGTAGGTAGGAAGTGGTTTAGGTTGGAAGGCACTTTTGTAGGTCATCAGGTACTACCCCCTGCCATGGGCAGGGACACATTCCACTAGACCAGGTCGCTCAAGTTCCTGGTCCTTCTCCCTGCCCATCAGGCCTGGGATTTATGAGATAAACCTCCAACAGCAGGAGGACTTCCAGGACCTGCCCTGAGTTTGGTGGCAGCACAAATCACATTCCCTTCTAGAGCACTACAGTGGCTGGGTGACCCCCCCGGAGCCAGGCAAGAGGTTGTCCAGGTTGAACAAGAACCATCTCTAACCATTCCCTGCTCCTTGCAGGCTCAAGGACCTTTTCTACCGCTCCAGCAACCTGCAGTACTTCAAGCGGCTGATTCAGATCCCGCAGCTGCCAGAGGTGAGACCCTGCAGTCCCCATGTTCCCTGTGCCCAGGGGCAGCACTGGGGGCACTGGCAAAAGGCCCAGAAAAGCCTTTTGCTGCCTTTCCCAGCTTCTTAGGTCTGGTGGCAGTGTGGGGCTCCTGGGCCTTGAGGATTCTTTTATCCCTCACTGGCTGGCATCCAACTGGATGTAGCTGCCCTCTGACTGGAAGCTGGGATCCCCTCTCTCACTGATCCATTGCCCTTGCTGAGATCCAACTCTGCGGGTCCTGCTTCCATCCCTGTGGGTCCTGGTTCCATCCTTATGAGTTCTGATTCTATTCCTCCACACCCTGACTCTATCCCTGTGGGTCCTGGCTCCATTCTCATGAGTCAAGGCATGGCCAGCTGGGCTCCAGGGCAGGATTTTAACCAACTGTGCCTTCAGTCCAGCAGCAGTGCCAGTCTTTCTACCTTAGCCCTGCTCCACTCCCTCCCCAGAACCCTCCCAATTTCCTGCGTGCCTCTGCACTGTCAGAGCACATCAGCCCTGTGGTGGTGATCCCCGCCGAGGCGTCCTCGCCGGACAGCGAGCCCATCACAGACCTGGTGGAGATGGACGCAGCCTCGCAGGTGAGGATGGTGGGGGCTCTCTGCCTCTGAGCCGGGGGTGTTTCTCTAAATCCATGCAGCAGTGAGGGCTGAGACAGTGGGGATGGCCTTGGGAGCTGGGGAGTGTCACTAGAGAGAGATAGGTTGGTGCTGGGCGACTGTCTGGGTGCTGGATGTCCCATCTGGGTGCTGCTTATCCCATCTGGATGCTGAATGTCCTGTCTGGGTGCTGCTGGGGCTGAGCTAGCCTGAATTCTCCCAGTGCTGCTCAGTGGTGTGGTGCCCTCCAGTGAGAAAGGAGAGATTTGTCTTCAAGCATTGCCATGGAGACCTTTAGGTCTTCACCCTCCTCTCCACCAAGGGTTGTCCTCAGGCATTGAGTGGGGATAGGAAGGAGCATGCAGTGACATGGCTTTGGGGATCTTCTCTCTCCAGCAGTTAAGTGGGGATGGACCACAGATGGCCCATGTTCATCAAGTTTGTCACATTCGGTGTCCTGGAAGCAGGGGGAACCAGCCCCGGTGTCCAGGCAGCTCGTAGGCTGGCTTGGCAGTGACACTGGGGACATAGAGGGACAAGGACTCCCACGTGGTAGTGGGGTCACTCTAGGTCTGTCCTGCTTTTCCCACAGAGTCTGTTTGACAACAAGTTTGATGACATCTTTGGCAGCTCCTTCAGCTGTGACCCCTTCAACTTTAACAGCCAGAATGGGATGAACAAGGATGACAAGTAAGCAATCCTGGCGATGCTGCAGAATGGCCAAGATGGTACCAGGAGCTCCCTGTCTGGGATGGCATCGCAGCCATGGTGACACAGGGGACACCTCCCCTCCCAGGCTGTGTCCCCGAGGCACTGAGAGTGTATCCCATGTCTCTCCTTCCTAGGGACCGGCTAATTGAGCAGCTTTATGGGGAGATCACAGCCCTGAAGGAGGAGCTGGAGAACTTCAAGGCTGAGGTGCGTGAATAAGACAGTGACCAGATCTCTGTCCTGCCCTCTTCCCAGTGGCTTCCCCTGTACAGGGGGTCCCCAGGTGTGCCAGGGGGCTGCATCCCTGTCGGGGGGGTGGGCTCAGGCCCGCTGCCTAGCATCCTTGTGCTTTGCCCAGTTGCACTTGGGGGCCGGCAGGGTGATACCCATGGGGGGGGCTGCTGGCCAGCACTGGTGGGCATTGGATGGTACCAGTGGGCATTGAATAGTCCTGGCAAGCACTGAACAGCACCATCAGCCGCCACCCGCCCCGCAGAGCGCACGGGGTGCAGTGCAGCTGCGTGGCCGTGCCAGCGAGTTGGAGGCTGAGCTGGCCGAGCAGCAGCACCTGAAGCAGCAGGCACAGGACGAGAGTGAGTTCCTGCGTGCAGAGCTGGAGGAGCTGAAGAAGCAGCGGGAGGACACAGAGAAGGCTCAGCGGAGCCTGACGGAAATTGAGAGTGAGCAGGGAGTGCCAGCACTGGCGTGGGGTGGGGCTGAGCCCCGGGCAAGGGGGGTCTCAGGTGCTCAGCTCTGTGTCCCTGTGTGCATGGCAGGACGGGCACAGGCCAACGAGCAGCGGTACAGCAAACTGAAGGAGAAGTACAGCGAGCTGGTGCAGAACCACGCTGACCTGCTGCGCAAGGTGGGCTCCCCAAACCGCCCCCCAGCATCCCCTCTCCCAGCCGTGCCCTCTGATACCGGCGGCTGCTCAGCTCATTCTCTGATGTTGCCAGAATGCGGAGGTTACCAAGCAGATTACAGTGGCCCGGCAGGCCCAGGGGGATGTGGAGCGGGAGAAGAAGGAGCTGGAGGACTCCTTCCAGCGAGTGAGCGAGCAGGCACAGAGGAAGGTGAGTAGGGATGGTGGGGGACACACCAGGGATGAGCAGGGGCTCCCCATGGGGCACCAGTGCCGCCAACCTCTCCCCTTGCTGCAGTCTCAGGAGCAGGCGGAGGTGCTGGAGACACTGAAGCGAGAGCTGGCAGCCAGCAGACAAGAGTTGCAGGTCCTCCAGGGCACGCTGGAGTCCAGCACACAGGTGAGAGCACCCTTCTGGGCTGGGTACCTAGGCCTTTACCATTTGAGAGGTGATACCCACCACTGGCCTGAAAACTAGCTCCCTGTCATCATCTTTGCCACATCTGAGCAGGTTTGATGTCACATAGGGGAGTTTCACGCTTCGGAGTGTGGTAGTATGTGGAGTAATGGGCTCCAGCAGCAGGGATCATGGAATAAAAATGCCTGGAAAAACAGGATCAGTCAGCAGCTCTGTCTCTGCTGTAAGTCCAGGTAGCAGTGTAGCATCACGCTGCAAGATGTGCCAGAGGGTAACCCATGCCCACAGAGCTGTGGAAGACAGCAGGGGTGCCTGGGCTTGTAGGAGGCAGAAGCTGGCAGGAAATTGCAGTCACCCAACTATGAGGTGGGCAGACTCGGCAGCAGGATGGGGATGGGGCAGAGGCAGCACCCTGCATCCACTCCTCCATCAGGATGGTGACAGTTGTGATAAAAATGCATTTTCACTGATAAAAGTGAAAAAGCTTCCCAGGAGCCTCGGTTTTCACCAGATAAGATCATCAGTGCTGCTTAGTGTAGGGAGCTGTGCTTGTGCAGGCCATGTTGCACCCAGCAGGGACAGTTGGGGTGGCCCAAGCCTGGATGAAGAATGGGTCCCCAAACTGGAGGGTTCATCCTCAGCACAGCCCTAACTGCTGTTTCATGCCCCACCAGGCAGGAGCAGAGCAGAACACTCGGATTGCCAGCCTGGAGCAGGAGAGGGACAGGCTGAGCCAAGCAGCAGAGCAGCACAGGGACAAGATGGCAGCTCTGCAGGCTGAGCTGCAGCAGCTGCGGGACACGCTCACCCACGAGCAGGAGAGCAGCAGGACAGAGCTGGAGATGCTGCAGACCCAGCTGAGAGACAAGGTACCACAAGGGTCCTGCCAATCCCTTCTGGCCAGACCAGGGGGGTTTGGGTGGGCCAGGTGCAGGGAGTGCCCGGTGGCCCAGCAAGGGCTCTGAGCTCGGCTCTGGCCCAGCAGGAGAGCATGGAGCGGGTGCTGCAGCAGCGCCTGGCCGAGGAGCGGCTGTCCCTGCTGCAGAGCACCGCACGCCAGGCCGAGTGCATGGTGCAGGATGCCCTGGCTCGCATGGAGGATCCTGCTCATATCAGCTGCACCGGCTCAGCAGGTGATGCCCCTGCTGCTCCCAAATTGGTGGTATCACAGGCTGCCTGCTCCCTGTGGTCCCAGCTGAGCCCTGCCTCCTGTCTGCCTGCAGATTGCCTCCTGTCCCAGACGCTGGCAGCCTCCGAGTGCGCAGAGCGGCTGAGGGATGCACACAGCAAGTACCTTTTGGATGGCGCAGGTGAGAGGTGGCAGCCCCGGGCACGGGGACAGCCCTGCCACACGGGGCGGGTGGCCAGCGCAATGGGCGCTGAGGCCTGTGCCCACTGTCCTGCCGCAGCCGTGGGCTCCCTGCTGCCCCACCTGGCACTCTTCGCCCACCTGGTCAGCAACACCCTCCTGCAGGGCAGTGCGACCTCCCATGTGGCCCCTGTGGAGCCTGCTGACCGTGAGTGCTGCCCCAGGCCAGGGGTTGGGGATGATGACCCCTGAGCAGGGGTCAGAATGGGCAGGGGATCGGGGTGAACATGGTGGGTGGGTAGGGGTCAGGGTGGGCAAGGGCTGGGGTGGGCAGGGGACTCAGTGGGCAGGGACCAAGATGGGCAGGAGATCAGTGTGAGCAGGGGCTGGGGTGAGCAGATGTCAAGGTGGGAAGGCGCCAGGGCAAAGAGGACACTGGGGTGAGCAGGGGCTGGGGTGAGCAGGGGTCATGGCAGGATGCTGGCATAAGGTGGGCAGGATGCTGGGGCAAGTAGGGTGCTGAAGTGGGCAGAAACCAGGGCAGGCAGAGGCCAGCACAGCCAGGATGCTGTCTAGGGTAGGAACCAGACATCTTCCCCCAACATGTGGCCCCTTCAGCCCCTCATGCTGCCTATGCAGGTCTGCTGGAGCTGTGCAAGCAGTGTGGCAGTGAGACTGTGAGCTACCTCAGCGCCCTGCAAGACCCAGGGAAGGTCGCAAGTGCTGACTGCAGCCTGGTGACAGCCTACCTGGGCCAGATCGGCGCCATTGGGGAGGTGGGTGGCCCAGCAGGGCTAGTGGGATGGGATCAGGCCCCATGGCAGGCACCGCCAGAGGGACTGTGGTGCTCCTGGATGGTCTCTTTCATCCCATCTTGTCCCCAGGAGCTGCGTCCCAGAGGTCTGGACGTCAAGCAGGAGGAGCTGGGTGACCTAGTGGACAAGGAGATGGCAGCGACGGCCGCGGCCATCGAAGTCGCATCTGCCCGTATTGAGGTGAGGGTCACCACGAGCAGAGAGGTGCCCACAGGCACGATGCTGGGGGCCTGCTGGGGCCACTGGAGAGGCCAGGGAGACACACTGGGCTCAGTACAGCCTCTATCCCCTCAACCAGGAGATGCTGAGCAAGGCACGGGCTGGTGACACTGGGGTCCAACTGGAAGTTAATGAGAGGTGAGTGATGATCAGAGCACTGGACAGAGCCAGGCAGGCAGGATGGGGACAGATGCTGCAGGCAGGGCAGCTGCTCCACAGAGGGCACTCAGTGGTGTTTGTCTCACAGGATTCTGGGCTCCTGCACAGGCCTCATGCAGGCCATCCGTGTCCTGGTCCTGGCCTCCAAGGATCTCCAGAGAGAGATCGTGGAGAGCGGACGGGTGAGCTGGGACAGGGGTGGGGGCAAGGGGGTGCTTGTCCAGCCGGAGGTCATCATGCACTTGTTGGGACATGCTGCTCCAACCGTTGTCCTGCTGGGACTTCCCCACCAGCTGCCAGGAGCTCCTTGCTGACCCCAGGGGCGCTCACCCTGGTTATGGTTCCCGGGGAGTCGTGGTGATCCCTGATCTCCCGTCCCACACAGGGGACCCCACAGCCCCCAAGTGTTCCCACCTCCCACACACAACCTGAATGACACCCTGACCTCCTTTTTCCCCCCAGAGCAGGGGTTTGGGGGTGATAAGTAACTAATTATGCCTTTACCAACGGCAGGGTGCAGCATCCCCCAAGGAGTTCTATGCCAAGAATTCACGCTGGACCGAGGGTCTCATCTCTGCTTCCAAGGCAGTGGGCTGGGGTGCCACTGTCATGGTGTAAGTGCCACTGTCACCAGAGCAGGGAGAGGATGGCAGAGTCCTGCCATCATCACAGGGACGGGACACGGGTGGCAGGATGATGCTCCAGCTCCTCTTTGCTGTCCCGCAGTGATGCTGCTGACCTGGTAGTGCAAGGCAAGGGGACATTCGAGGAGCTGATGGTCTGTTCCCGCGAGATCGCGGCCAGCACCGCTCAGCTGGTGGCAGCCTCCAAGGTAGGAGCAAGGCTGCTGCCCTTCCCATGGTTCAGGCTTCTCTTGCCTCTAGCTGGGGCACCATGTGGTCACCCCAAATCCTGGGGCTGGTCTGCTCGCCTGGCGGGGTGTGACGCCCTCCTCACCGTCCTGCCAGGTGAAGGCAGACAAAGACAGCGCCAACCTCTGCAAGCTCCAGCAAGCCTCCCGGGGTGTCAACCAGGCCACGGCCAGTGTGGTGGCCTCCACCAAGGCTGGGAGGTCTCAAGTGGAGGAGAAAGGTAAGTGTTGGGCTTCAGGGATCTTAGAGTCATGCAATCACTAAGGTTGGAGAAGCTCTCTAAGACAATTGAGTTTACCTGTTCCCCCACCACTAACCATGTCCCCAAGTGCCACATCTACATGGTTTTTAAATCTCTCCAGGAATTGTGACTCCACTATACCCTGGGCAGCCTCTACCAGTGCTGAACAGCCCTTTTCATGAAGAAATTTTCCTTTTTATCCAACCTAAACCTCCTCTTGAGGCTGTTTTCTCTGGTCCTAGTGCTTGGAGCACAAACCTGCCCCAAAACCTCTCCTCTTGGCACTCGCCACTCTTGGTTGGCTGTGCCCCTGTGGTCTCTGCCCATGGCTGCCCATCACACCCTCCCTGCATATCCCATGGTACCAGACCCTGCCAGCAGCATGGGAGCTGCTGGGGAGTCTGACTGGGGGAGCAGAGCTTGAGGGGGGCTGGTGGTGTCATTCTCCACAGATAGCATGGACTTCTCCAGCATGACACTCACCCAGATCAAGCGTCAGGAGATGGACTCACAGGTAGGGGATTCCCATGTTTTGAGAAACACAGCCAGTCAAGTCTCTCTTGGGCTGCCTGAGGTGGGGCATCAAATTTGCAATCACCATGCCCAGCTGCCCCCAGGTAGCACAAGCAAAGGCGAAGCCCAAGGTGTGAAGGCAACAGATGGGTTGCCCAGGAGTCACATGCTCTTTGTCCTCAATCCTTCCCCGATGCTGTTCCCATCGTGACATAGCAGCCCATGGCCACCCCTGCCCCCCAGTGTACTGCCCACAGCACCCACCTCTACCTGGCATGGGGCAGCTCTGGGGAATTCCCCTGCCTGGGATGCCCACACAGATTGTTGTGCCTTCACTTGTCTGCACAAGCAGTGTCCACCTGAGCTCCATCCCCTCCCCAGGTCCACTCATCATTGGAACACTCATGGGATGCACCTCTGTGGTCTTTGGACTTGATGTTGGGGGCATAACGGGTGTGAAAGGGTAGTGCTTGGCCCAGCTCTGTGCTGGGGTGGGCATGTCCTGGCCATGTCCCCAGGTGCGGGTGCTGGAGCTGGAGAACCAGCTGCAGAAGGAGCGGCAGAAGCTGGGGGAGCTGCGCAAGAAGCACTACGAGCTGGCTGGCGTGGCGGAGGGCTGGGAGGAGGATGGTGAGTGGTGCCAGCCCTGCTCCCGCTGGGCAGCTGCTCCTGGAAAAGGTGGGGCGGGATGGAGAAGCCCTGCCTGCCATCCATGGCAATGAGAAGGTTTTGCTGCATCCCCCACAAGCCTGGGGATAGTTGGCACACATAGTGGGCAAGTCCTATGGGGTCTCTCCACAGGAAAAACCCCATCATGTGGGATCTACATCATCCCCAGGCAGGGGGTTCAGGTGCTACTAGAGCAGCCTTGTGGTCCCAGAGGGATGGGGCAGAGGGATGCCAGTGGACAGCGCACTCCCTGACCCTGTCTTCCCACTTATAGCTGCAGATTAGCACCAGTGGTAGAAGCAGCCCACAGGGGACACCTGGAACCCTGTGGGGAACACCCCTGGGACCCCACTTGGTGCAGTCTGTTGAGAAGAACCCCAAGGAAGTGGTGCAGAAGCCCCCCTGAAGCACACATCCCCTGTGTCCCCCCAGGAGCCGCCTCCAGAACCAGAGCCGAGCCGCCAGCAAGACCCCAGGGCTGGGGCGCGGGCATGAAGCGCACCTGTATTTATTAGTGCTGGGGTGGGGGGAGGTGTCCACGCGGGGGTCTTTAACCCTTTAGTTTTGTTTTTGCACAGATTCTGGGAACTCCTAGAGCCTTCTCTGGCTGAGTGAGAGCGGTCAGGATTCTCTTGCCTCTAGCTGCTTTTCCAGCCTTAATGCAGCCCCTGGCTCGACATGAATGTCCCTCCGTCCTGGGAATGAGCATGCTGACAGCCCCGGGGGTGCCACCAGGTGGGGGACAGCCTTTGGGGTGCTGCTGGGCTTGGTGCTAAGTGTGCTCCCCCTCAGCGGGACACTTGAGTGCCTTTGGCCACTGCAGGCTGAGAGGTGGTGTTCCCATGGGATACCCTGGCTGGAGACACAGGGTGCTAGGAACAGCTAGGAAAGGGGCAGCAGCAGGAGGGATGCTGCTATGAGCTCCTGTCCCTCATTCCAGGTCCCCAAAAGGCCTCCCAGATCCCCCTGAGCTGGGCTGCTCTGCCCTGACAGTTCACTGTGTTCATGCCAGCAATAAACCCTCCACAAGGTGCTGGGTGTGGCTTTGGGGCCACCACAGTGCCACCACACAAGCCCTAGTTCCTGGGGACGGGGGAGTGACTCTAGGGCAGCAGCACAGAAGGTCTGGGGGGAAGCCAGGGTGCCCCAAAACCAGAGCACCCCAAAGCCAGAGTAAGCAGCTCCCTGTCCCTGCTCACTTAGGTGCCCTCCTGGTGTCATCGCCACCCTCTTGGGTGCAGGGGGACCAGGGCCAGTGTGGCTGTGGGCAGGGGTGGCCATGGAGCTGGCACCAGCCAGGGAACCTTTGTGCCTTGAGCAGGGGGCTCAGAGGGCAGGGGGCATCAGCCACCTCTGGGCCCCCCTGCTCATCTCGCTGCCATGGAGACAGTGAGGTCAGACCATGCAGCAATGTCCCCATCCCCCACAGTGCTGCTGGTGCCCCTGCTGGGGCCAGTGTCCCTCCACTCAAGGTGCTGAGGACGGGATTTGGCCTTTCTCCCCTTGGGAAGAGGCTGGGCTGTCACTGTGTGCTTTCCCAGCAAGGCCCCCCGCCAGCACCCAGCTGGCACCTGGAGCAGTGGGACCTGCCACTGCCATGGCCTCAGAGCTGCCACCCCTCCACGCAGCCATCCAGCGTGCAGGGAGCCCCTGTTCCCGTGTGCCCCCAGCCCTGCTGCCAGAGGGACCTGGGTTTCTACTGCTTCCCCGTCCTCAGCCCGTGCTGGCCCCCCTTGGATGCAATACCAACCATCCCGTTCCTGCAGGACGCAGGGAGCCCTAAAACCCTCCCCGCATTTTTGGGGGAGTCTCGCCTGCACGCCCAACTACCTCAGGCCTTGGGGCCCGGGAGCGGCATGGGGGTCACGGTGGCAGTGGGGGCTTGGGGACAGCGGCACTGCTCTCGGCCTAATCTGCTTGTCCCTTTTGTATCTCAGCCAGGCGTGGGCAGAGGGTCCCTGCAGTGTCCCCAGTGATGGCAGCTGGTGATGGGGACGGTGGGGGTGCCCCCTCACTGCAGGGCAGGTCGATTCGGGTTGTCATTGTATGATAATGACCATGTTGTTTGTTTTGGATTTTTCAATAAAGCCTTCAGCCCAGCCCCGCAGCTTGAAGGGGGGACACAGGGGACCTGTGTCACAAGGGGGTTGTGAGCTCTGCCCTCATCAGTGTGCTCAGTGGCCCCCAAAATCACTTGGTGTCGAGGTGACCCAGGTGTTGTTCTGGTGATGACCTCTTGCCTTTGCCCCCACTGTCCCACACCTGCATGTCCCCACAGCCAGCCTGCATGTCACCTCTTTTACCTGGGGGGGTAGCAGGATGTCGTCCCAGCTCAGCCCCGAGGAGCGTGAGTGGCTTTGTCCTCCCTTCCTGGGAGGATGATGCTGTAGTGGGGAGGCCATGCAGATCACCCTGTCACCCCAGCAGAGCCAGGTAGCCCACGTAGTCCACAGACAGGGATCTCAGAGGAATGTCCCCTCCTAAGCATGGTTAACCCACCTGGGTGGCACCTAGTCTCCTCCAGCCTTGCCGGGGCCACCTCGACCCCTGGGATGCAGAAAGCCCTGTGCCAGCAGCCACTGTCCCGATCATTTTCCCTGCGGGTGTCCCTGCCTGGCAGTGGGGCGGGATATCCACAGGGTTAGCCGTGTCTCCTGAGGAGCCCAAGGGCTCAGACAGCCAGAGAGGATTTCCCACAGTCCCCAGAGCAGGATGGTGGCAATGGCACCCTTCAGCCGGGACAAGGGGACAGGCTGGGCACGGTGGTGACTGGGGAGAGGCAGGAATGTGCCTGTCGCTGGGTTCCTGCACGTGGGACGCAAAGTCAGATCGGGACTGGCGACATATGACAGGGACTGGGACAGCGGGACACAGAGGCTGGAATGGTATAGGGGGGTTGTAGGGCACAGGGTGGGGAGAGAGACATAGGATGGGGCAGAGGGGGGAACACAAAGGCTGGAATGGTGTTGCGGGGTTGTTAGAGACAGGACAGGAACACAGAGACCGGGAGTACATGGGCATTGGGATGGTAAACAGGACTGTGGATTGGAGATGGGGAGATTGGAAGCTCGGTGGGGGGAGACGCGGTGGGGAAGGGATGGGGCTGGGGCAAGCCCAGAGATCCCGGTGGGAACAGGGGAGATGGATGACAGGGGAGAGCCCCCGGCGGGGGAACGAGAAGGCAGGACGGGAGCGCCATGAAGGGTCCCGGGCTGAGCCCCGCCCGCGCCGCGCACAGCATGCCGGGAGCCCGCGGAGACAGGGCTGGCCGTGCTCCCGCCCATTTAGCCCCGCCTACTTCGGCCCCCGCCTACCCCGCGAACCTGGAAGCGCCACTCTCCCCAGAAGCTCCGCCCCATAGAGCTACGGCCCCCACGTTGACGCAAGAGGGCCGGCCCCGCTCGCCCCGCCTCTCTCGTTAAGCTCCGCCTGCCCATGGTGTCCCGGTCCCTCCGTGCACGCCGGCAGGACTCGTCGCCCTGGGACTGGAAGCCCCCGCCTACCGGGCGTGTCCCTCCACCTAAGCCCCGCCTCCGCGGTACGCGCTCACCCTAAGCTCCGCCCACTCGGGAAGCTTCCGCCCTTCTGTTAAGCCCCGCCCCGCCCGCCCTCCGCCCCCCGCCCCGCAGAGCACGCCGGGAGCGGCGGGCGCGCGGCGATGGCGGGCGCGGGGCCGGGCGGGGGGCGGGATGGGGCCGTGAGGGCCGCGCTGGCCGTGGCCGCCGCGCTGGCGCTCGCCTTGGCCTGCCTGCTGCTGCGGGGCGCGCTGCTGGGCGCGGCGGCGCTGGGCGCGGCGGGCGCCTGGTGTGCCATGCGGCCCGGCCCGCCCGCGCCGCGTCCGCCCGGCAAAGCCGCCGCCAACGGGGGCCCGGCCGCCAGGGCCGCGTCGCGTCGCCCGCAGCCCGGGTAAGCAAGGGGAAGATCGGAGTAGAGCGGGCGGGGAAGCCCCAGACCGCGTCGGAGGTGCTGACCGCGCTCTGTCCCCACAGGGTGCCGCGCTGCCGGCCGCAGGCCCCGCGCCGCCGGTACCCGCTGCCTGAGGCCCGGCCGGCCGTGCCGCTGTGCTTGCCCGCCGCCCGCTGGGAGGGCGGCTCCCCCCGCAGCACGCCTTGGGCCCGCCGGGCCGGGCCGCTCCGCAGCCCCGTCACCGTGAGAATCGCCCCGCCAGCCGTCAGCATCGCCCGATCCCCAGCGTGAGTACGGGGGAGACCGGGACACACCTGGGGGAGCCCGCTTGTCTGCTGCGGTGGGGACCAGGACACCCTGTGGGGAACGCTCAGTCCCCTGTGCTGTGCCCGGGAGCAGCATCCCATCCTGAGCGCTGCCATGTGCCTGGGGGGATGGTGCTGTCCAAACCTCCGGGAAGGGCTGCAGGGCAGAGCTGTGTCCTCCCTTCTGTGGGGGGATCAGACCGGGACCCAAGCCTGTCTCACACCTCACTGTGCTCTGTTCCACAGTCTAGAACAGCTGGTCTCGCCTCTGGCCTTCCCAGCCACCAGCAGCCCTGACCCATGTGCAAAGGAGACTGTGCTGAATGCCATCAGGGAGAGCAGGAAAAGGGCTGTGGAGGAGGAGGAGGACCAGACTTTTGAGAATGATCAGGAGACCAAAAGAAGGTAAAAAGGGAGCTGTTCAAGTTGCAGACAGTGTGTTGGGAAGGTCACAATTGGGATTCTTGCTCCAGAGGTGACCAATGGGATGTGTCCCAGAGTATGCCAGGCCCCATGAGACCTCGAGTCAGGGCTGGAAAAGTACTGTGAGAAGTTAACTGCAGAGAGGAAGCACACCCCATCCATCACCCAGTCCTTCGTGCTGCATCTGAAAGTCCTCCTTTGCAGTCGAAGGAATGTGGTTTAGGTGTGGGTCCAGTGTGTTCCCCTGCCTGGCTGGAATGTGTTTTGGGAAGCCTAGATGGGAACAGGCTTGTCTCCTCACAGGGGTTTGAAGACTGAGAAAGCATGGTGGGAAATGTTGGTGTCTGCTGTGGGCTCTGTCCTTCCGTCAACCCCAGGCTCCCAGGAGAGATAGGATTACCAGGTGGAAGCATTGCACTTGGAGAGCTCCAAGCACTTCCCTTGTGAGCTGATCTAGCAGTGGGAGGTAAAACAAGAGAGAAAGTGAGACACTGCTGCTTTTGTTACTCAAGGCCAGCAACTTCCATCCCCGAGTTGGAAGGAGGGAGGGTGCTATGTTTTTGCCAGTGTCCATAGGAAGGACAAGGAGCAAATCCTGAGAACCATGATCTGCCAAAGCCTTTCTAACCACCCAGCCACAGCACTGTCTTGCTATCCCACCCTCCTGCTTTTTTTCCTAGAATCACAGGATGATTTGGGTTGGAAGGGACCTTAAAGGTCATCCAGTGCCACCCTCTGTAATAGGCAGGGACATGCTCCACTAGACTGGGGTGCTCCAAGCCCTGTCCAACCTTGCCTTGAACACTTCCAGGGATGAGGCAGCCACGCTTTGTCTGGACAGCCTGTTCCAGGGCATCACCACTCAGAGTGAAGTATTTATTCTGTATATCCAGCCTAAATTACCCTGCTTTCAATTTGAAGCCTTTCCTCCTTGTCCTATGATGGCACTTCTTGATGCAGTCCTTCTCCAGTTTCCTTGCAAACCCCTTCAGATCCTGAAAGGCTGCTGGGATCTCCACACAACCTTCTCTGCTTCAGGCTGAGCAGCCCCTGATGTCTCAGCCTGTTTCCACAGGGAAGGTGCTCTAGTCCCCTTACTGAATTCGTTGCTCTTTTCTGGACTTGCTCCAAAAGTTGCCTTGTCCTTCCTAGTTATGTCCATGGAGGCTCTTCCATCTGGGCTGGGATGGGGGCTGAGACTGGGGCATTGTCCTGCCCTGGGGCTGCTGCTGTAGGTGGCCCAAGGAGCAGAGCAGGGTAAAGCAGGGCACACTGTCCTCTTCCAGCACTGAATTCCCATCTCTGAATGCTTGGTTCATTGGATCTGAGCCCCACAGGAGCCAATCAGGACAACAGAATGTGTACGCAGACAAAATCAGTTCAGTGTATTTTTCTCTAAACTGTTTTTGTAACATGTCGATACACAGCTCTGCCACAAAAGCCAATTCTGAAGGCATTAATGTTTGGCAAGCACAAGGAATGGTTGTGGATAGAAAATTTTGTGTACTTGGTGGACAGAAAGGAGCTGTGTCAGCTGGAGAGTGTGGGACCACCTGTGCCTTGGAGTCAGCTTGCCCTGGGCTTGAGGGGAGCTTTTGGCCAAGTGACAGGGCTGTCCTACACCTCCAGTTCCACTTTACAGCAGGGTGTCTTTTGACACTTCAGATCCTCATGAAATCATAATGGGAAGGAGAACTCAGTTTTTTACTTGAACTGTCCAAGGCATTGGTTAGGAAGAGGTCAGAGCTCAAGTCTGTTCAGAAAAACTGAGCAGCTCATTTCTAGAAGTATTTTGGCTTAGAGTAATGGATTTAAGCAATTTTTTTTTACATGGGACTACTGTGCCAAGCAGGCAGCTGGATGAGCTCCTGGTGTTTGGGGTGAGAATCAGTGAGGACAGGCCTATGGGCAGAGAAAATCTGCAGCAGGGTGTAGGTGGGGAAAAGCTCTGTCCTGAGTATTGGGTGCCAGGAAAAAAGCAAGGTTTGATCTCTCCCTGGGTGCTCAGCCTGCCTTTCCCTAGGCTGGGAGAGGCGTCCACACTGTCATAGGCTTTCACACTCTCTTCCCACAGGCGCCACGACAGCAGTGGAAGTGGGCAGTCAGCATTTGAGCCACTGATAGCTAATGGTGCCCCTGCTTCTCTTATACCCAAGTAAGTGCCCAACAGCCAAAAGCAGCTCCTGGAATGGGAGGGAGCAAATGTCTGTGGGATCTGGAAAAGTGGGCTTGGGTTTTGCTTGCAGAGCAAGAGAGATTGTGACTGTGGCTTGAGTCTGTCACCTGTGACAGCAAGGCTGTGCTGCTGCTGAGAGTTGTTTCTAAGCAGGATTTCCTTCCTCCACCTGCCCTGTATGAAAAGGACCAATGGGCAGGAGCGGTGAGGAGCTCATCAAACCTTCATCCCCCTCCAGGCCAGGCTCTCTGAAGAGGGGCCTCATCTCCCAGTACCCAGATGACTGCTCCAACAAGAGGTCTCGCACCTCCTCCATGAGCTCCCTCAGCAACACCTACGCCGGCGGGATCCCCAGCTCCATCCGCAATGCCATCGCCAGCTCCTACAGCTCCAGCCGGGGCCTCTCACAGGTAGGGACACTGGATCTTGGCATTCTTTTGGGATCACCCGTGTAATCCCAGCTCTGGGCTCGTGAGGAGACAGCGGTGTGGCAGGGTGTCTGGACCCAGTGTGGCTCAGCCTGGCAGTCTCACCACCTCAGAGAGCAGGTGAGCTGTGGGCCGTGGGCCAAGCAGCAATTATTTCATTTTTGGAGGAGTCCCAGGTTGAGCTGTACTGCTGCTTTTACACCAAACCAAGAAAGAGACTGTTTTCTCCTCTCTCCTGCCTCTTGGTCAGTCTGCTAGACTGGATAGATCCAGGTGAAGGAAAAAATGGTGTTGATGTGCTGACATCTTTTCAGTAGGAATCAGCAGTGTGGGAGCCATGTGTTCCCATTCTGACCCAGTTCCCACCTGCTGACGGTGATGGAGCACTGCTTGTGGCCTGGCTGGGCTTGCAGGTGTGCCAGGGACAGATAGCCATGGCTACTGGAGCTTTGTCTGTGTGGGGAAAGGTTTGCTCCAGGCGGAGGGAGAGAAGGGTTTGCTGGGACTGCAGAGAGTCTCACCCTTGCATTGGAATCTATCTGCTTTGAACCCCTGGCAAGGAGGTGCTGCCTCCTGCCAGAGCAGCCCCACACACAAGGGTGTTCAAAGCAGTTGAGAGAGACCACCTGTGTCACACACCTGTGTCACACAAAGGCAAGTGCCCAGAAGTGTACTCCCTCCCTGGGCTCAGTCAGGGCAGTAAAGGCCCTGGAGGCTGCTTTTCCCTTATGTGGGTTCAGCTTAGGGTGGCCAGATTTTGTGCTCCCTAAAATGTGGAGGGGAGTTTAAGTGGTGGTGAAGCAGGAGAAGCTCTGAGCTCATTGGGCTCAACAACCATGGCCCTGGGCAGTGGGGCTTATTGTGGGAGAGCAGGGGGCCTGTACTCTCTGCCAGACCCATGCCAAGTTACTGCTGGTATCTCTCTGCATTCCAGCTGTGGAAGAGAAGAGGTGTGAGCGTGTCCCCTCTGTCCAGCCCAGCGTCCTCCCGCCCCCAGACACCAGAGTGGCCTCTCAAGAAAGCCAGGTAATGAGCTGATGGCCAGCCAGCAAGACAGCAGTGTTTCCCAGCCATCTCAGCATGCAAATCCCACTTTCCACTGGAGCTGGGACAGTCCAGGCCCCTCTCCTACACACAGTGGTGTAGAAACCCACTTGTGTCAATTGGTCTCCCTGTCACCTTGTCATGCTGTGGTGTGTCTAAGCTGTGTCACCCCTGGCCCACTCCCCATTAAGGTCAGAGATTTAAGGGCACAGGTTGCCACAGTAGTGATGGTGCTTGGTGGCATTGGCCTGGCCAGGATTGCCAGATCATTAGGAGGAGACAGGCCCAGGATCTGTATTTTAGTGCCTGCCTTGGAGCACAGCCTGTGTTCTCCTCTTTCCGAAATCAGAGGAGTCTGAACTTATGTCAGAAGTAAAACTGGCACAACCACCTGGATGGGCCCAACCTGCAGGGGGCGGTGACTGCCATCTGCCCTCCTGAGGCTGACTCATCTTGTGGAGGGTGCACAGGCTCAACCAAGCTGAGTCTGGAGGAGGAAGCAATTCCTCTGCCTGGAGTTGGGCAAAGCTTTTGTCTTGAGATCTGTTTGCAGGAGGCAGATAAACACCAGGGATACTCCTGCAAGTCTTCAGCCTGTTCAGTCTCAACCTGCTCCCTGCAGACAGGGCTGGCTGGGCCCAGGGTTGACCGTAACTGTCCCTCCTGCTTACACAGGGAAGAAGAGTCACAGCATTCCAACGCTTCCACCCCAGTGAAATCAGACAAGGAGCTGCAGACAGAGAAAGGTAAGTGTAGGTGTGCCCCGACACTGCACCCAGGTCACCAGTGCAAGCAAGAGAGCAGGACAGGAGGCAGTTGAGGTCTGCAGTGGGATTGGCTTGAGGGGTCACCTGGAAACTTGGCATGTGCTGGTCCCAAGGCAGTGGCACTTCTGCCCTCAGTGACTGCCCTAGTGGGATTTCCAGGTGACAAGGGAGTGCTGACAGTGTTGGGGTGCTAGCAGATGCCTGGGAACTGGCTTGCAAGAGCGAGCTCCAGCTCCCAACCCAGCATGGGTCAGGTGTCAGCCTTGGTCCGCAAACTGCAGTGGCATGAGTAGTACTCTGACCGAATTCCAGTCTGAGCTTATGCCAATGCTTCCTCAGCTAAAATGGAGAGGAAATCCTCTGTGCCCATGGCAGATGGGCCCCATAATACAGTGCCAGCTGTGGCATGTGGTTTGGGTAAGGCAGCGTGTTGGCACAATCCATGGAGCTTGGAAGGAGCCACTGCCCCACAGAGCCCACCAGCCTCATGTCACAGACCTCCTGGACGTGAAGCTGCTCTTCAGGGTATCACAACCTTGTCCTCAGCTTAAAACCATGCCCCTGCCCTCTGAGTCGGGCCACCCAGAGTGGGGTCAGAAGGGACAGACCCATCACTACAACCAAACACTTCTCTGCCCAGAGCTCAGCCTAACTTGTCTCCTTCTGTAGGTGTGGAGTCACCGGTGTGGAAGAAGCAGAATTCCTTGAGCCCACCATCTGCTTCGGGGAGCAGTGGGAAGCGCAAGCGGAAGATCCCATTGCTGTCATCTTTCCGTGGGGACCAGCTAGTGCTGGTATGTTGCTGTCTCACAGCTTTTTTGGTCCCGCTCTGGCAATAGAATGTGCTCACTGCAATTTCTGCAGGGCTGGGGGCGCACTGACCTGCCTGCCCTCAGGAAGGAGGCCCCGTCCTTGGTCGAGTGGGAAGTGACGCTCTCCCCAGCCCCAGTGTCTGGTGGGCTGTGCGTGGTTGTGCTGCCTGCTGCCGGACCAGGTAATGGCCTGGGGAGGGCCTGCCATGCCCTCAGTGCCACGCCGGGGGCCCACCAGTGTCCGGGACCCGAGTAGCTGCGGCAGGACCACCTGCTTCACAGGGCTCACCACAGACAGTCGCCAGCACGCCTTCAGAGAGGCTCTGCCCGCTTCCCTGGGAAGGAGCTAAGCTGCTGCTGCTCTCTCTTGGCAGCCCCCACCACCTCAGCTGGGCTACTCCGTCACCTCAGAGGACCTGGATGCAGAGAAGAAGGCAGTGCTGCAGTGGTTCAACAGTGTCTTGGAGGATAAGGCTGGTAAGGATGGGCTGGAAATGCGGAGGAGTAGGAGCAAGCTTGGGTCTGGGGGTGCTCTTGATGCCTTCCAGCTGAAGAAAGCTCATGCTTTGTTGTGCTGGGTGAGGTTGCCCAGGGCTGTAGGGTGTAGGTGCAGCTCCCCTACCTGCTGGAAAACTCTGCTAAGGGTTTGTTCCTCACAGCCAGTTGTGGGTCCTGATATCTTGCTGTTTCCCTGTAGATGCAGTCCCCAGCACCACTGCAGAGACAATGCCTGTGTCCAAGCCGCCGGTGTTTGTTGTGACCTCTGCTGGGCCTATGCCTGCCTCCACAGCTCCTGCCCCGGCCAGCTCCTCACTTCTGGACAGTCTGAAGAAGATGCAGAGCAGCCAGGCTGTATCCACAACACCAGGTGAGACGGAGGAGGAGAGTTGGCACAGTGGAATGCCAGCAGAGTCAGGCAGGTGCAGCAGGAACTCCTCGTTGTCTCTGCATGAAGCAGCTGACAAAAACCATCTGTTCAAATGCTCTGCTGGCAGCTGAGCTAGCATTCAGGGCTTGAGGGGACACCTTTGGGGATGCTGAGCCCCTGGTCGTGCTGGAAGCTATGGTAACCATGGAGGGCTAGGTATGATGGGAGCTTTGGGAGCCTTTGCAGCCGTAGGTCAGTACCATGGCCGAAAGGTGGGCTTCTAAAGGTGTCCCCTTGTCCATAAATAAGCTCTTTCCCCTTTCCAGATTCCACTGGAACTGTGGCAGCATCCCAGCCACCTCCGTCAGCTGCACAGCCATCTGCTCCTGCTGTGTCATTGGAGTCAAGCTCTCTGCCTGCCATCTCTGCTGACACCAAGCCTGTGCCTGTATTGAGCACACCTTCCCCCAGTGCTCCCACTGCCCTGGTGGTGCAACCCCCCAGCAGCCTGGCCTCTCCTGTGTTCACTGAGCTGGGCCAGACGCCCAGCAAGCCTCCCTCCTTCCAAAAGCCAAGCATCCTGTTTGGGATGCTGAACACCCCGCCAGCCAGCCAGCCAGCAGTGACTGTGGCCGCTACCGTGCCCACCACGGCCACTGCTACACCCACTGCATCCACTGCTGTGCCCACCCCAGCCACTGCCGTGCCCACCACAACCCCCATCTTCAAACCCATCTTCGGTGCTGTGCCAAAGAGTGAGAACGCAGCAGTCTGCACGGCTGTCACTTCCACCACAGCCACCATGCCCGTAAGCTCAGGCCCTGCCTCCACGTCCTCCACATCCTCCATATTCAAGCCCATCTTTGGCAGCATCACTGCAGCTTCATCTCCAGCAAAAGTTTCTCCTTTTGCCTTCAAACCTGCGGCACAGCCGGCTTCAGAGCCGACAACTGCCTCCACAGCTGCTCTGGCAGGAATCACGGGTCTTCCCAACGTCATCTTCACCACTGCAGCTACAACTGCCACCACCCAGAGTTCCTCCACGGATGCCACCATTAAACCTGTCTTCAGCTTTGGACCGAACCCGCCTGCTTCCGCTGGCCCTGCTGCTAGTGTGACTGTCACTGCTGCCACCTCCACCAGCACAACACAGCCCTTCCTGTTTGGAGGCCTCTCCAGCTCTGCTCCCAGCACAGAAACCAGCTTTACCCCCTCAGGGCCTGTGTTCCAGTTTGGGAAGGCACCTCCAGCTGCAGTCACTGCCACCAGCAGTGTCCCAGGAGGCCCTGCCTTTGGCCAGGTACCTTCAAACTCAACGGTTGCTGCCACCACCGTGGGCTTTAGCATATTTGGGAGCACTACACTGACCACCTCTGCCCCAGCCACCACAGCTCAAGCGCCACCGACATTCGGCTCCTCACTTTCAGCTTTTGGCAGCTTTTCAGCCAGCGCAAAGCCACCGCCACCGTACCCTGGCACCGGGAGCCAGCTCACCTTCAGCACTGGGGCTGCTGAGAGCCAGGTGCCCACCAGCAAGCCTGCTGCTGGCCCCATCAGCTTCACCCCCTCGTTCAATTTCGGAGCCTCCCCAGCACAGTCGGTGGCTCAGCCAGCATTTGGCAGCGGTGCCCAGCCAGCCTTTGGCACAACCAGTGCCCAGGGCTCCTTTGGCACCAGCAGCACCCAGGCAGCATTTGGGACCACCACCTCCGTGTTTTCTTTTGGAACAGCCACCTCCACCACATCCAGCTTTGGTGCCACCACCCAGACCACAAGCAGCAGCACCGGTGCCAGTGTCTTTGGCACCACTCCATCTCCATTCACTTTTGGGGCCAGCACCCAGCCAGGCCCCTCCACCAGCGCCTTTGGGATGGGTACACCGGGCCTCAGCAGTGGGTCCCCAGCTGTGGCCTTCAGCTTCGGGGCTGGGCAGAGTGGGGCAGCCCCGGCAGCAGCGCCCTTCGGCTCATCTCTGCCGCAGAGTGCGCTGGGAGCGCAGGGCCAGAGCACGCCCTTCGCCTTCACCATGACCAGCACTCCCAACAGCAAGCCTGCATTTGGAGGTGAGTCATTATGGAGCCGTGGAATGGGTCATGCTGGAGGGGGCCTTTAAGATAGTGTCTCTGGCCCTGTCCAACGTGGCCTTGAACATTTCCAGGATGGGATGGGGGCAGACAGGCCAGCTTGAGGATCTAGAGTTGGGCAGGAATATTTCTGATGGACCTTGCCAAGGTGCCCAGGGTCCACAGCCCTGGTGAGGCCAGTGCTCCTGCTACGCAGAGCCTTGCTGTACAAAGGGAAGGCACTCCCATCACTCCCTGTAGTGATCCAGCTCCTCTGGGGAGGGGAATCCCTAAACTCTGCTCATTGGCCCCTCTGAAGGCACCAGCTCCCCAACTTTGCCCATCCAAGTATCCTGCAGGAGCCGAGGTCATCTGAGTCCTTAAGAACCATAGAGCATCTTGTGCCTCCTCTGGGTGCCACCAGCTCCCAAAAGCTCTTTCTCCTTTGCTAACCCTGTCTCACAGTGACCTGTTGCTTTCCAGGAGCTTCAGTGCCCACCTTTGGGCAGGGCACGCCTGTCCCTGGAGCTGTGGGCAGTGGAAGCAGCACCCTTTCCTTCAGGACACCCAGCACTCCTGCCTCAAGCTTTGGAGGAGTCGGCACTTCCTTTGGTAAGGAGGGAGTTGATGCTACAGCCTTGGGGAGCTCGTGGGTCACGGTGTCCCCTTAGGCTGGGGACAGTGGTAGGGCCAGGTGTTCTCTGGGAGACGGCTCAGGGAGTACATGCTGGACTCTTGCCAAGTCTTCCATTCCTCCCAGGGTGAGGATTGCACTGATTCCAAAGCTAGCAACCTGAGCAACCTTTCTGCTTCCAGGTTCGTCCACTCCCACCTTCTCCATCGGGGCAGGATCCAAGATGGGCACTCGCCAACGGCTGCAGGCACGGAGGCAGCACACCCGCAAAAAGTAGCCCTGGTGCTGCTGGGCTCCACTGGCTCACGAGTGGGGGCCTCTGGACTGGAGCTGTCCCTGTGGTGGGACCAGGCCCTGTCCCTGACACCCACTGGATATACCATGCAAGGATAAGCCAAACTCTTGTTACTTGAACAGTTCCAGACCCAAGACTGGACAAATCTCTGTACATATCCACAATGTTCTTTCCCTCAATTTATTTTGCTTTGTTTAATAATGTGTACATTTCTCCCCATTTGCTTCTTGTAGCTGTTTCCATGCCCCTCCCCAGCCCTCAGCCAGCCCCAAGGCCTTGTCCCACTCAGAGCTTGGCTGGCGACAGGCTGTGGTTCCGAGTTCCTGTCAGACACCGTCTTCACCAGGTCTCAAAATCTTTCCCATTGTTCATCCTGTGGCCTGGTGAACATGGTCCCATGCCTGCAGCCAGGGTGAGGTCCAGCCTGGCTCTGTTTCGGTGCCACAGCTGACTGGCATGGGTGCAGCTGGGTGACACCCCTGGGACCTGATGTCCTGCTACCTCCAGCTGAGGACATGCCAGAGCCTGGGACCTGCGCTGGAGGCACGGGGTGAGGATGGGGGTCCCCCCACCCCTCTCCCATCTCCGCTGCTTCGTGGGGCTGTGGGCTGCCCCCACCCTGCTCCCCAGTTCTGCTTTATCCGTGCTCCTGTCCCTGCACTCACTGAATCGAGTTTGGAGGAAGAGCTAAACCGTGTGTGTGGCGGCATGTTGGTTATGCCGGATTTGCTGTTTGGAGTTTCTTTTTCGGGGGCACCAGTCCTTGGGGGGAGACGTGCCCCGGCTAATTGGGTGTTGACAGTAGCATCACTGCGTGGCTGCTCGTGCTGGGGAGTTGTCCCTTCTATGTCGTGACTAAAAGGCAGCTAGGACAGGGGATTCCAACTATGGCAGTCTCTCCACTCCCTTTTCCTCTCTCTTTCTCCTCTCTTCCACATTTCAGGGGGCTCTGGAATTGCTCACAGAAGGAGGCCACAGCAGATGCATTTTCCCCTCCATCCCAAATCCAAGTTGTTTTTCATTTTTCATCCCAGTGGATTTTACTAGCTCTTAGGAACTGTGGTGCTGCTTCACTTGTCTCCATCCAGCCAGGAGTGGGATTCCCACCCTTCCCTGCCTTGGAGTTTCTGTGGGAAGAGACTGCCAGAGCTGGGGGTCACCAAAGAGCCACCCCCTGCCCTGTCCCTGGTGAGGGATGGGCACTCCATTCCCAGGAGTGCTTTGCTGCTGGGTTTTTACTCTCCGAGCCGTGTGAGTGTGTGTGTTTGCTGGGGTCTAAATTAAAAAAAAAGAAAAAAAAAATAAAAAAATCACAAATATTTAAACATTTTTTAGCAAAATAAAAATTTATTTTTATATTTAAGCTAAATTGCCTTCAAATTCCTTCAAGCTTGGTTCAGTGAAGTTGCCTACCCTGCAGCCGTTAGTGTTTAGCTATTCCCACCCTGCCTGTGCCTGTGGGAATGCACTGTGCTGGGAAAGGCAGCTGCATCCTGCAGGCTCTGCCATGCTCCCCCCACTGTTCATCATCCCCTTCCTTTTAAATGTGACGTATGTGGATGTGACTAAACCTTTTTTTGTTCATTTTTTAAAGTTTTTAATTATTTCTCTGAGGGTGGGGAGCAAGAGCTCTGATGTTATGGTGCTGAGTGCCAGGGTCAAGACATCTCTCCCAGCAGAAAGGGCAGTTGATGGGCTCTATGTGGCACAGAGGGGACACAGCCCTGTAGTAAGGGGACATAGAGGACCTCCAGGTCCTGATGGGAATGTTCTGGCCATCATCCACCAACATGGCTGTGGGTGCAGTGGACCAAGAGCAGCCAAGCTGGGAAAATGTGTCCTTGGGGTTGGAGGAAGCAGAGGGCAAGGGGCTATTGCCTGCAAAGACTGACCTTGGGTGTCCTTCCCTGTGCCCATTAGGATTCTGGGCCAGGAGAGCACCTGCTCCTCGTCCTTGAGGTGCCAGGGTTTGGCCAGGTCAGCTCTGAGAAGATGGGGATGAGCTGGGACAAGGTTGAGACCACCCTGACTCTGGGTCCTGCCCCCAGGTAGCTGCCCCATGTAGTCCCACGCACCCGTGAGGAGCCAGGCTGTCCCTTCCCTGCCACACAGGCCCTGCTGGGAGAGCCCCTTGTGCTTGGGGAGAAGGGTTTTAACTGACTGAAGACTTGGATCATTCCTGGTGTGGCTGATGAGGATTTTAGTGTGAAGGTGCAATTTTTGTTTCCCTGCTTATGTCTCCGGTTTAAAATAAAATGAACTGTGTTCACTTGGCTGTGCCCATGTGTGTTTCCTGGGGCTGGGATTCCCAGGGCAGGGTGGTGCTAGTGGGGCTCAGGTGGAGCACCCTCTGGCTCATGTCCTTACTTCCCCCAGTTCAAAGAGAGGATTATTATTATTATTATTTCACCTTTTTCCCTCCCACTATGCCTCTACTATGAGCAGTGGCAGTTTCAGGGCAGGACTACACAAACACACTGGAAAAAAATGGCAAAAAGAGAGAAACTTTTAATCTGCTTCATCCCTACAGTGAATTTTTTTCAGGAGGTAACATGATAAACTACCCTTAATCCAGCTGGAGGACCCCAGCCTTGCAGGGTGCAGAGTGGGGATTGCCTTGGGAGCAAACCTGGGGCAGGGGCTGGCTGCAAGGGGCAGCCCTGGGTGAGCAGTTGCCCCTTCCTGGCACCAGGGTGGTCCCAGCACTCAGTCCCCAGCATTACAGAATTCTCGCTATGACTGCAGTTAGCACAGAGCTTGACTTGTGTTCAGGCCAGTATGTGTTCCCCACAGCCACAGCTGTGCAGGGGTTTGTCCAGAAAATGTTGTTTTATTCTTTCACCAGCTGCTTTTTCTTTTTCCTCTTCTTGGGAGCTGCTCCTGGCTCTGTTCCCTCTCCTGGCTGCGGGCTCTCCTTGGCTGCTGCAGGCAGGGAGCTGCAGACAAGAGCAAACGGCCTGAGCCACAAACACCCCCTAACACCCTCCCCAGGGCGCCCCCCAGAAGAGCCCCCACAGCCCCCCTCACCTGGGGGCAGCAGCCCCTTCCCTGCACCGCTCCAGCACAGCCACGAAGAAGCCGTGGGTGAGGGTCTCTGCAGGGGAAGCACGGAGGCAGCTCTCTGCTCCGGAGAAGGCCGCGAGCCCTCGGCAGGGCCACGACGGGAAGGCAGTCACCAGCCTGCGGCATGGAAAAGGGCTCAGCACCAACCCTGCCCTGCAGCCCCCCAGGCTCCCTAAGCCAGACCCACCTGAAGGCCGAGCCCCACTCCTGCAGTACAGCCTGCACCACATCCTCGTTCTCTTCCTGGTGCAGGGAGCAAGTGGAGTAGACCAGGCGCTGGAGAGCTGGGAAGCTCAGGGCATGGCTGAGGACGCGGCGCTGGAAGCCAGCCAGCGCCTGCAAGCGCTCAGCACTCGGGGCCACCTCCTCCCCTGGCCCCCGCGTCACCATCCCTGCGGGATGGGAGCTGTCACCCGGGGTTTGCACACCCACAGCCCAGTTCCAGGGGAGCAGCTGGGGCCCCACACATTACCTGAGCCACTGCAGGATGGGTCGAGAAGGATGTGGGTTACCCTGCTGTATTTGCAGTCTCTGGGGTCCACGGTCAGGAAGTCCTGCTGGACCAGCTGACAGCCAGTGACCCCTGCCCGTGTCAGCAGTGTGTTCATGGTGGCCACGCGCTTGGGGTCCACATCAAAGGCAAAGATCTGTCTGAAGGCAGAGCCAAGCGCCCAAGACAAGCCGTGAACAGACCACCTGGCCTCCAGGAACACTCAAATACTGGGCAGGCAGACCTTGAGAGCTGCCTCCCCTCTGGCAGGGGTATGGAACGGGACCAGGGCTGGGGGCTGGGAGTGAACCCCTATGAGACTTCATGTCCCCTCAGGTCCTTCCAGTGGCCCAGAAGTGACCAGCTCACCTGAGCTGATGACAGGTTGTAGCTCCTCCTGCCACCTTCTTGTGGGCTCAGGGGGACCAGGGCCACCTCCCCCCTTCCCTCCAGCCCTGCACACAACTCTGCCCTCACCCCTTGTTCTTCAGGATGGCAGCCAGGTGGCTTGTCTTGTTCCCAGGGGCAGCACAGGCATCGATGACATGGGAGCCAGCAACAGGGCCAAGGAGGAAGGCAGGGAGGCAGCTGGCCTGCAAGAGGGTAAAGACCATCAGATGGGTGGGCAGAAACACCTGCCCCCTCCTCAGGAGGCAGGGCCGATGCTGTGGAGTCACAAGGACCACCATGACATAGGGCCAAGGCCATCACCACGCTCCACTAAAAGCCTTGCCCAACCCACAGCCCCCTGCTCCTCCCAACTCCCACAGGGATTTTACACCCCAGAATTTCATCTTGAACCATCAAAGAACAGAAGCAAAGCACCAGGGGTGTCCCAGTTTCTGCTTTGACTTAAATGCTGCAGCAAGCCGAGCCACTGTGGAAAGGAGCTCACCCTACATCCCTGTCAGTAGTTTTCCCTGCCCCTGCAACTTTCTGCTCCCCAGTTCCCCCACCTTGTCCTGCAGAATTATGTGTCCTGAAGTATACAGCAGGTTGTCATGGAGGTCTGTCTGTGAAGGGAAAACCAACAGCTCCGGAAGATGCAGATCCAACATGAATTTTTTTCCAGAAAGGGCCTTCATCTCCTCCACACTGTCCAAGACACGCAGGGAGCATGAATACAAAGTCCTAATCCCACTGCTCACAGCAGAGCCCAGGCTGAGAAATCCCTTCATCCCACAGCTCCTCACCAGCACCAAGATAGGCAGCATCTAAGAGTGGGGAGTGACAGAGACCCCAACCCAACCACTCTGAGCACCAAGCTCAGCAACCCTTCAACCCACCAGACCTCATCCCACTTGCTGACATTCCGGGAAAGGTGGGATAGCAGAAAGAAACACTCACCTGGCTGCCTTGCCCAGATAGGCATATCCCTGGCGCTTGAAGAACTCGATCACATCGTCCACACAAGTCTTCAGGGTGTTGATCCGGACGTAGCGTGGGACCTGGGAGGCTGCAAGGGGCCGGACAGGTCAGACACAGACCCCACTGTTCCCAGCACAGGGTGCCCACCCAGCCC